GAAGATGACCTTTAAAACAAAACATAGTCTATATGAGTGGTTAGTTATGCCGTTTGGCCTTACCAATGCACCTAGTACATTCATGCGCCTTATGAACCATGTCTTGCATCGGTTTTTAGGAAAATTTATTGTAGTCTACTTTGATGATATTCTAATCTATAGTAAAACATTAGAAGAGAATGTTAATCATTTAAAATAAGTTTTAAGTGTTTTATGTAAAGAAAAGTTGTTTGCTAACATCAAAAAGTGTGACTTTTGCACGGATCGGCTCTTGTTTCTTGGTTTTGTAGTTAGTGCAAGAGGCATTGAGGTTGATGAAGAAAAGGTAAAAGCAATCAAGGATTGACCTATACCTAAGTCGGTTAGTGAGGTGAGAAGCTTTTAAGGTTTGGCAAGTCTCTATCGATAATTCGTCAAAGATTTCGGTACCATCATGGCACCATTAACTCGAAGTTATTAAGAAGAGCGTGGGGTTCAAATGGGGAGATGAGGAAGAAAAAGCATTTGCTTTAATTAAAGAAAAGTTGATTTTTTCTCTTTTATTTCCATTACCTAATTTCACTAAAACTTTTAAAGTTGAATGTGATGCATCGGGTGTTGGCATTAGCAATCGTTTTAAGGCAAGAAAAGAAGCCTTTAGTATATTTTAGCGAGAAATTAAGTAGGACTACCCTAAATTACCCTACATATGACAAAGAGCTCTATGCCTTAGTGCGAGCATTAGAGATATAGCAATACTATCTTTGGCCTAAGGAGTTAATCATAAATACTAATCATGAGTCCTTAAAGCATTTGAAGGGACAAGGGAAGCTAAATCGTAGATATAAGAGATGGGTAGAATTTATTAAGATATTCTCGTAAGTGATTCAAGTATAAATAAGGTAAGAAAAATGTGGTAGCTGATGCATTATCATATAGGTATTCTTTAATCTCTACGCTTAGTTCAAAATTGCTTGGATTTGAATATATTAAGGAGTTTTATGCAAGTGATCCAGATTTTTCTAATATGTTTAATGCATGTGAGAATATCACTTTTGGAAAGTTTTATAGGCATGAGGGTTATCTATTTTGTGAAAATAGGCTATGCGTGCCTATGAGCTCTCTAAGAGAGTTCTTTGTACGTGAGGTATATGAAGGAGGTTTAATAGGGCATTTTGGTGTCTTAAAAACTTTAGCTATTCTAACCGAGCACTTCTTTTGGCCTCACATGAAAAGGGATGTAGAGAGGGTTTGTGAGAAGTGTGTGACATGTAGGCAAACTAAATCTAAAGTTAAACCCCATAGCTTGTACACATCATTACCTATTCCTAGTTCACCTTGAGTTGATATTTCCATGGATTTTGTGTTGGGACTACCACGGACTAGGAAAGGGAGGGATTTCGTTTGTTTTTGTTGTTGATAGGTTTTCAAAGATGGCCCACTTCATTGCTTGTCATAAGACGAGTGATGCCAACAACATTATGAACTTGTTCTTTCAAGAGATAATACGTTTGCACGAAATGCCAAGGAGTATCATTTCTGATCGTGATGCCAAGTTCTTGAGCTACTTTTGGAAGACTTTGTGGGGTAATTTTAGGAACTAAGTTATTGTTTTTTGCTACTTTTCATCCACAAACGGATGGCCAAACCGAGATAGTGAATCGAACTCTTCCTATTTTATTATGTGCTATTCTGAAAAAGAACATTAAGAATCGAAAAGAGTGTTTGCCACATGTTGAATTTGCATATAATAGGACTATGCATACCACTATTGGTTATTTACCATTTGAGATAGTTTATGGTTTTAATCCTTTAACTTCATTGGATTTGATGTCTTTTCCTATTGATAAGTATTCTAGCTAAGATGGTAAGAAGAAAGCAAAATTGGTGAAGTCCTTACATGAAAAGATAGGGCAACACATTAAAAAGAAGAATAGATAATATGCAACAAATGCCAATAAGGGGAGAAAGAAAGTTATCTTTGAGCCGTGTGATTGGTTTGGGTGCATATGTGCAAGGAGCGTTTTCTAGCTCAACGACGTTCTAAGTTGTTACCAAGTGGAGATGACCCTTTTTCAAGTGGTTGCAAGAGTTAATGACAATGCTTATAAGCTTGATTTATGGGGTGAGTATGAAATTAATGCTACTTTCAATGTTTCGATCTCTCTCCTTTTAGTGTAGATGTTGACAAAGAAGATTCGAGGACGAATCCTTTTAAAGAGGGAGGGAATGATGGAAACCATGGAGCTAAATGGATCGATAAGGTGGTATCTCTAAGGAAAGTCCAAGATGATGAGTTTACAAGTCCAAGAACCGATCCATTACACATTAAAGATGGTTCAATGATGCGGGCTAAGGCTAAGAAGCTCAAAGAAACTCTTCATGAGTTTATTCAAGAGTGTTAGGCATAATGTATTTTCGAGGACCCAAATGGGCATTATGGTGCCATCTTAAGAGGGGAGGAGGATCCAAGACTTGTCAATCTGATCCAAGTCCAAGATTAGGCCTATTTTGTTATATCTAGCTTAATTATAATTAGAACTAATTAATTAAGTCGATTTGGGCTCAACATTTTAAGCCCAACTTAATTATAATTACAACTAATTAATTAATTCAGATTTAGGCTCAATGTTTTAATTCCTATGATTTTAGTATTCTTTTAAGTCCATTAGGGCATATGTTTCTTTTAAGAAACAGGTCCCTAATTTTAGTATTCTTTTAAGAAATTGATCAAGTGCAGGACCTAGTTGAAGTAACAAACACGTGTTAACATGTGAAAGCTTCGTATTAAATAGAAAACAGTGAAAACATGCCATCTGCATTTTCTTCAGTTGGCAATACGCATCATTGAAAATGGACAGCTTATACAATTGTCACGCCAATTTCCGAACTTCGCAATGCGTCGTCCATGATAGCAATAAACTTGGGCATTTAACAAGACCGGCTATCTGAATGTTAATTCAAATCATTCAGACTACAAAATCACAATCTGCACATCCATACTTAAAACTCAACAAGCCACATCTTTCTTTCCAACCCAAGAATAGAAACTATCCATAGAAATCATAGAAGAATCAGTATTTAACTTTCCAGCACATATTCCCTCTGCGGTGAAAATGAAACAGCCGAGCAATCACTACAAAATCAGGTGATATCTAAGCGATAAGTAAAGAATTTTAGAGAATAAATGACAGCCACCTTCCACCATTTAACTAAAAAATTGTAGATGGCATGTAGAGAAGTAATCAAACCACAAGCAACAAAGCCAACAAAACAGTTCCAACTCTGGAAATTGCAAACATACAGGCTATAGAGCCAACAATTCTTGAGATTACAATACCCTAAAAGTATCGCGCCTGCTTTTACAGCCATCCAATGTTAGACCTTGCTATGTAAATCATGGGGTCCAAAGAAAAATGAAGTAATCAGTACTTACAAAGGAAACTAACATTTTTATATATCTCCCTCTTAGATGAATCAATCAGAATTAAGCGAAAAGCCTCTCAAGGACATGCAAATTCTTTTCTGCTGTTACTTGGCCAAGGCATGGTGGCCTCACACACCAATCTTTCAATACAACCCCAGCATGTTAGAAAGACAGCACAGGGCAACCAATAAGAAAAACCAATTCAATAAAGCAGCAATCACAAAAACATAGCATCAATAGCCTCCTGAGGCCAAGATCCTATCCAACTGGCAACAAACAAAAGTGAAAAGGTGATGCAAGCAAGTTGCACTGTAGAAACAAGAAAGTGGAGACATATTGCACACATATTCATAAGAGAACCAATAAACTACACACATTCGGAGACAATTACGAAACATGCATATGATAATAGGAGGGGCAATCACTGTTTAGAAATTCACTTTCAGCATGAGCAAGAGATAGATAAGCAAAGGCCACATGTAATGTTCAAGAAGGACATCAAAAAGGCTAACAAAGAGAAACATGGGAAAGAACACTGTGACATGCAATTTGTTTAAGAGATATCCAACTCCCAAACTAATACTAGTCCAGTGGTTAGCACACATTCTAATACAATAACGGTATTACGTTAAAATCAACAAGTTTATCTGTCTAAACGTTCTAGTTGCATAGATAGCCCAAACAAGGAGTCCTTAAAATGCTCATGCTGATATGAAGTGCTGAAATGTAAATCTTTGTAAACAAGGAGAAACCAAAATCATTATTTTGCATTAAGCATATCACTTTTAGTCAAGTGTATAAAGTGGGTTGTGAATGTCATCACCCAACGCATGCAAGACATTAAAAAATTCCAACAAATTACCAGAATGTTCTTAATGATTAAATAAGAAATAGAAACAAGGTTTTCAAGTAAAAAACAAGGGAACTTTTTATTCCATAATTAGGGATAGCATTCATTCACAAACCTCAACTGTGAAGCAGTCTCAAGAAAGAATCAAATTTTGTATAGGTGGCCCCCAAAAGTGACTCCTAAAACATATTTTTTAGCCCAGGGGGCTGCCTTCAATGTTTTTGGAACTCTACTCCTTTTTTACCCCATTGGCTAAAGCCAAACAATGTAATTCCAGCCATGACCCTACATATAATGCAACATTTTAAGTATCAAATGCAGAAAAACTAGGAAGTATCAGGACTTGCATTGCAATCAAAGCAATTAGCTAAATTAGTCCCATCCATGAACTATTGTATTCTAAGGCTGTCTCCCAAAAAGCAATTACCTAAGACTATAAACATAGCACCTCAATCGAGCATCAGGGACACAGGATATTGTAATCATCTATCATGTATTGAATTTTTATATCCCTTGTCTATTCACATACTGAACATGGGTTTGCTACATCAGCATATGCACCACCAGATAAGAACCAAGACTCAAAATAAGAAACAGCTCAATTCTCGGGTGCCAAAACATATAACAACCTATATCCCCACATCTAATAAGTCTATGAAATGACAACCTAACACTAGAGCAGAACACATAAGACACAGAGAAAGAGATACACCCAACATACACCCAACAAAAAAGGGAGTCCTACTATGACCTCATGCTACAAGAACGTGCCAACTTTAAAGTCAGACTACCTCCAAGCACACTGGCCTCCACCTCCACAGGGTCATTCTTATACAGCTCCCTGCAGTTAGGACAGCGGCCATCCAGCTCAAGCATTTTCTTGTGGCAGAAAAGGCAGACCTGAAACCCACAGGAACATGGCCGGAAACTTGCATCGGTGAAGTCCAAATCTTCTGTACATATAGGACACGCAGATGGCACATTAACACCACTAACACAACCCCACGCAAGCACTCCCTGTCCATAATGCCTATCAGTATTTGGAAAGCTGTGCTGCTTGGACAAATTAGGAAGACTCTGCGGACGAAGTGCATCATCCGGCCTCCACGCCCGACTATTCCCAGGAGTCACTCTCGGGGGCACGCTTCTGTCCTCTGTCAAATTCTCATGATAAGAACCCAAATTACCATCCAATTGAACAATAGATTCATGCTCCAGTGAAGACTGCAATTCTAAACATGGATTGTTATCATCGTTATGGTTTTCTAGCTTATTGTCATCATCATTGGCAGCTAGAGCATCAGCCATAGCCTCCCAATCATCCAAGCAATTATCATCCCCTTCTTCATCCTCTTCCGTTATGCAGCCAGAGCAACAACCAACGCTACTTCCACTAGTACTGCTGCCACTGATGGAAGCAGTAAAATTGGTGCCCGAATCGTTGCCACCAAGGACACTGCTGCCAGTAGGACTATTCGAAGGGGAATCAGAATCAAAATCATGATGGATTGATCCATTTTCATTCTCATCCTCCCCTACCCGTCGTCCAAGCCGCCTCATCTGCAAATTCTCTAACGGATCCTTCCTTCCCTCTTCATGAATTTGCTGTGGCAACCCGCGTGGACCCATCAATTCCTCCCTACATCCCTTACTCTTCACTGCACCTAATAAAAACGAAACAGAAATCCACCATCCATCGCATCAATAAATTAAAAACCCCACCACAGTACCCAAAAACTACAATTAACTCAAATAAATTCAAAACCAATATTCAAATTAAAAAAAAAATACATTTGAGATCATCACGGTACCTTGAGAGAGCCATTGCTCTCGACGAGCATCAAGCTTGCACTGTTTCAATTTGGCTGACCTATTGGCCTGCATAAACCCCGAAAAGAAAAACACAAACAGATAATAAGACACAAAAGAACATAAATTTACAAAATTGATTGATTTAGAAAGGAATCAAATTCTAGAGAGAGAGAGAGAGAGAGAGAGAGAGAAGAAAGGAGTCGTCTTCATACCCTCTTCTTCTTGCCAAAATCTTTCGGGACAGAAGGAATTGAAGCGTTGATTGAATCGGAAACCATGGTTACTGCTGCAAAATTTGTGGATTTGGGAAAAAAAACCCTAATTTGTTACAATCGGGAGAGATGGGAATTTGTTTTCTGCAGAGAGAAAGGAGTATATTTGGGTTTTTTAGACAGAGACAGAAAGACAATGAGAAATGGATAACAGAAACTCCTCCGCTTCGCTCTGCCCTTAATTTTTTCCAGTCGCATTACAATGGCCATCTGTTTTATTTATATAGCGGCTCTGTTACTAAAACGCCCTTCGTTTTTATTAAATTTTCTGATGTACCGCGTTAGGTGACGTGTGTTTTGGACGTAAGTTGGGGGTGGGGGTGAATGTCAGTCCACAGGTTATATTTGTGGAGCCGAATGGAATTACATGCGAGACAAACGATGTCGTTTAATTTTGTTTTTCAATGTTTTTATTTTTACTTGATAAACAAGTAAGTTTCCATTAGGAAAGTAGCATTAATTATGGTGGTCGGTTGTATTAATTAGGGAAGGGTAACCAAACTTCGTAATTATCTTTGTGAGAAAAGTAAGTTATTTTATGTGAATTCTACTTCCAAAGTTCAAACCATGGAAGCATGTCAGGAATCAAGCATCAGGGTGCCTTTTGTTTTGTTATAATCTATTTTTGAACTCCTAATAAATTTTAATTTTATACAAAATTCAAAAAAATTACATGTTGCATAGTTTCTTGATTTTCCATGATTTTTAAGTATTTTTAGGATTTAAATATATTAGAATTATTTCTTAATTTTAATTTAAAAAATGAAAGAAAAAATAATAAATTTAAAAAAGAGAGAGAACAAATTTTGAGCATAAATTAAAGAATGTAAAATGTGTGAAGACCAATAGAAATCAAATTAAGAATGTAACTCGAAACAAGAAAAGGCTAAGGATTGAGGGAAAAAAAAACAAAAGAAAAAAATGAGAGACCAAAATAAACTTTTCCCAAAACCCCGAAAACCAACCCCTCCCTCCCCTCCTCGTAACGCATCTTATCTTTCATTTGTCTTCTTCTATAGCCAAATACTCCTACCAAAAAACCCTAAAAAGAAAAACTATCCCTTCTTCGCACCAAACTCACCAATCTTTCCCTCACCAATAACAATATTGCCACTAGCCCACAAAAACTCAAAATCAGTCTCCAAACGACATCCTTTTTCACTGGCAACTCGTCACGATCCTCTTTCGCTGTCATCATTTTCTTCCAAGCCAACGCCACTATTGCCATCCTCTTAAGTCAAACTACACCTATCTCCTCCTCGAACTTTGTTAGTAACCAAATCACCATCTCCTAGACTTACCTAAGCCAATAGACACCCAAAATCCTCCATGCCATTCTCCCTCTCATCACCAAAACTAGCCATCAATGATAGCCACTCCCACTCGCCTCACTATTGTCCCTTTCACTCACTAATCCAGCCATAGACCACCTACCTAAACCCAAAACAATCATCTAAACACAACTAGCAAAACCAACAACCACCATTGCCACAAAAAGCTCCATCAAACCCCTTGTCACTACCCGACATTCGTGGGACTATAAAAAATAATAGATTAAATTTTGTTTGTTTATGAATGTGAATTGAACTAAATTTTTAGAGTCGTCATCTAGCATTAAAAAAAATAGAAGTTTAAACTTTTAATTTTATACAATTAGATCCCTAATTTCTATACAATTAGGTCTTTAATTCTAAAATTTTATTTTATGCTTTTCCAAAATTCAATTTCTCTTCAGAATAAATTCAAAAATTCATTAAAAGAATTTGATTATGATTTATATAATTTTTATACCTTCATTTAGCCCTCCAAATTAATTATTTAGTGTAAAAATTACATTATTTTCTATAAGAAATATTCCTTATACATGAAAAAATTAATTTAAATTTATTAGATACTCCTACACATCCTAAAGGATTTTTCTATATCCTTGAAAATTTTTCTCACCCTTTTAAAGGACCTAATTTAATTATTCTACCTTAAAAACACTATTCCTACACATATAAATTTAAATAAAATATTCACCACATATCAAAAAATTCATACAACCACATAAAATAATTTAACATCCCTCTAACAAATATTCTACATAAACACAATATTTTTCATGCATATGCAATATGCTCAAAATAATATTTCATGTAAAAATTACTAGTATGCAACCTAAAATCAATAAAACATTAATTAAGCATAAATGGACTATTTCAACTACTCGAATGTTCTTTCAAGCCTTTAAGAATTATTTTATTCCTTTAAAATATTTCTCACATGTGTTTAGTATTTAATTTTATTAAAATTTAATTTTTTCAAGTATCGGTTATTACATCAACGCATTCACACCTTCTTATGAAGGACAATGCATGGCTAACTTCTCACCAACTTGCAAAGAATGTGTAGTAGTCAAACATCTAACCCATTTTGTACCCGTTGCCATACCGATCGAGAAACCATTACTCATGTCTTGAGTGATTGTCCTACCGTAACTACTGTTTGGAATAAAGTGGGAGTAGACACTATGGTTCATCGTTTCTTCTCTCTTGACCTTAAGGAATGGATCTATATTAAGTTGGAGAAATTCGATTCTCGCTAATCCAAAAGCAATGGCTTGGAGCATTTGGTTTAGAGTTTGTTGTTGGTTTATTTGGTCTTAGAAGAATAAATTCATTTTTTATGAAAACTTCATTATGCCTAATAGGAAGTCATTCATGTTTTTTGTAATAATATAGCTATTAGTTTTGAGATGATGTCTAGGTTAAATAGATCTAATGAGAGAAAGGTTGAAACTCTAGTGGGTTAGGTCAAACCACGTACATGCTAGGTAAAACTCAATACGGATTATGCTCTTTGAACATCCGTTGGCATTGCTAGAGCTAGGGAAATTCTTAGATATAATATAGGAACTTGATTACATGGTTTCTCCTATTGGATATGAAGTTGTACTCGTCTTATATGCGGAACTTTAAGGCATCGCAATTGGTTTGAAGATGGCTTGAAATATAGGGTTTTAACAGATTATTTTAAAATCGAACTCTTTACTTGCGGTTAATTTAATCTTGCCTTTGAAGGGTTATAGTGGACAATATCATAAGTTGATCTTCACTATTTGTAATTTTTTTCACAATCCCTAATAAGTACAAGTTACTCATACTTTTAGAGAAGTCAATCGTTTGGCTAACTAACTTGTATCGTATACTTACTTACTTTCTTAAGAAATCTTGTATTTAGAGCATGCTCTAGTAGGGTGTAGTAATTTTCTTCAAGATGATGTTTGTAGAGTTGTATTTTTTCGTTTTTGCAACAAAATATTTTTTTACTTAAAGCTTAGTCTCTTAAGAATAATAATAATAAAAAAAAATCATGTTGGAATTATGCACCACACCAATGACAACGTCCGGTTGGAATTTGGAAATTAGTTTATTATGAAACTATGTTTTCCTGTAATTCCAAATAAAATTTGAAGACAAAAGTGGCAATTGAAACACGTGTATGGTTGAGATACGAAATAGTCGGCAACGACAAGTCTATTTGGAGGCATGCAACTATAACCATGGTTGAAAATGCCACGACGTGTAAGAATTTCATGTGGCGAAAGCTGGAGAAGGCAAATACGAAAAAGTCAGCAAAGAAAAAGAAAAGTGTTGTCCTTGTCAAATCTACAATCTCTCAATCATTCCGTACACAAAAAGTCAGCTTCTCTTTCTAAAATATCTCAATCCTTTAAAATAAAGCACCTCTATAATAATTTTTAAAAAATAAAGATTCAATTTTTAATAAAATTAGAAATACTAAATTTATTTATATTTTGTACAAGAAGATATTGCAGTTAACCTCTCACCCTTATTGTTATGCTCAGGAAAAAAAAAATTACAGCAACTAGATTGATAAAATAAGCAAAGGGTATTATTATTATTAGATCGTAAGTTCGTTAAGATGGAGATTACAAAGCCCTGATTAATCGGACCCAATCCTTCTAACCCAACTAGCTCTATTTTTTATTTGGATCATCCCATCCCTTTACTAGCCCATCATCAGCTGGTCTAAAAAGAATCAACTAGCTTTATTTTTCTATTTGGATCATCCCAACCCTCGACGAGCCCATCAAAAACTGGTCAAAAAACCCAAATTAGCTCATAAAAAGAGACTGGTTACAGAAGAAGCTGCGGGAAATGGGAATGCCATCTCTCGGCAACACTCAAATGTTGGTGAGACTCTTCTGAATTTAAGGGAGTTGTTATTACTGTGATTGTTGCATTTGATGGTAAGAGGAATGCACAAGTGAATTGAATACTGACTCTTGAACTATTATTATTTGTTTTAAAGAAAATAACTTAGACTAAAGATATGATAGTTTAAATTATGTCAATACTTAATTTTGGACAATAATTTGATTCTAAACTCAGAAAAAATTTAATAATTCAAATATTAAAATTTTTGATCTAATGTTGACAGTCCAATATAGTGAGCATCTTTTTTGAAAATAAAAAGCATGAAGGAAGAGATACTTTTAGTTTTGAAAATGAAAATAAAAATTTCAAAAACCTAGGATCCAATTGCAAATAAAATTTAAGGTGCTAGGACTAAATTGGATTATTTAACAAGGGACTTAAATGTGGGAAAAATCTATCAATATACCCTTATGTATTACATCATTTCTTAATCTTACCTTAAAAAAAAAAAAAAATCAATCAATTCTAATCTTTAGTTTGTTTGTATTCTTTAATATACCCCCGTATCAATTATTTTCATTAAAGTTGTAGTTATTTGTGCCACACATAAATAATTTTAATATAAATTAATGAATTATGCTTTTAGTTATTACCTTTAGTTTATTCCTTTTTTCATCATATAACTTCAATTTTCCTTTTCATTTCTCAATTATCTTAGATGATTTCCCACCGTTCTTTTATTGCAAGTATTTCATTGCAAAGCCTTGAAAACCAATGTTATTGTTTTTTTCTTCTTTAGAAAACTAATAATTCTTCAATGTGATCCGGTAGTCCTAATGATCTTAACTTCACTTTTGAAATTTCAAAAACTAACCTTTGCATCTTTTTAAGGCATTCAAATAGTAATAACATGATAAGAATAAATGAAAATGATGTTGACATTGGTCTTGTAAATATGGACATTATTCACCTGGGCAAGATTAGTCCTACAATTGATTAATTCAGACTCAAAAAGCATAACACCTAATGAGGTTTCAAAAGTTGTTAAGCATTCCTTTTTTAACGATATTTAGGATTGCAACAAATAATCTTTATATATATATTTCAAATTTTCTATAAAAATTAATTAAATAACTTAACTAATTTTTTTATTATATACTAATCTATGCTATTTTTCTTGATTTTTGACATAGATTCAAACTAAATCACGAGATAAATTGGATAAGAATGAGCATCAACTTAGTACAAGGTTGTGAGTTGCAAGAATGGACACAGATCTTCCGACAGGATCAATGCCTATATTTTATTTTTGAAATATATTAGAGAAATTGGCTTAGTGGACTCGGAGTAGGATTTACTAAAAAAATCCTAAATTTTTAGCATTTGTTAATAAGTTTTAGTAGTTTAGCTCAAAAAACTTAAAATCTTCAAACCAAATATAATTGTCCAAACTTGAATGACGTAGTACAATTTTAGTGGTCAAGAGTCTTTTTTTTTTTTCTTGAAAAACAGGAACAATACCCTAGATATATATTAAATAAAATGTGAAAGGATACGAGAGAGACGAAACTAGTCCGGACTAACACACCTGAGAGGACAAGCAGCCTAAACCCCTAATAAAAATGTTAGAGGTAAAGAAGCTAACGCTAAAGAATAGAGCAAAAACTAAGAATCAAAAGGACAACTAAAAATAACACAATAGCAAGTTATAAAGACTCCAATTCACAATTTGTTTAATGAGTACGATAATTAAACAAGCCCATTCTATCATCCAAAATAACAGCTTTGCATGAGGTGGGCAGATTAGATGTTGAGAATATAACCTTACAGAAAGTGTGCTGAAATGCCCAATTTGTAAGACAATCAGCAGCCATGTTACCCTCCCTAAAGCAATGCTGAAGGACAGTACCTATTCTAATGCATGCCCAACACTTTTTAACTATATAAATAAACTACCATGGACAGGAAAGAGAATGAGAGAGGCATCCCAAAATCAGTGAAGAGTCAGTCTCTATTATGTTGTATTGCATGTTATACTAATTGCAGAACCTGATGCCATCCAAAAACACAAGAGCATTCCCTTTGGAGTTCGTTCCAGGTCCATAATAGCTTGAAAAAGCCATTATCAAATAGCCTCTATCATCACGAATAATGCCATCCCCATTACATATATTATTCCTGGATACTCCATTAGTGTTTAAGTTTAATTTTTTGATTGGTGGAAATTGCCACTTGATCCAATTCCCTAGGAAGGAATGGTATTCTGTAACTGCATACCCAAAGCTCTCAAATAAACATTGTCATGAAAAGAGGATGCTTTCTTTGGACAAAACGGAAGAGTGAGATCATGCAACCAGTTAAGAACTTTATGATTGATACTAAGCCAGTTCATACTTTCGCTGTTAAACAAAGATTTGTTCCTTGATAACCAAATTTTCCATAGAATACAGTTGTAGACTATCATATGAGAAAAGGTTTTTTAAGAGCATATATTACCTTTAGTAAGCCTAGCTGAAACTAGCTGCTGCAAATTGCCAGATCCTGTGGTAATATCTAGAATGCTTCCAAAGTAGCTTCAAAGCTATTTTGTGACATCTCCATGCAGAAACAAGTGCCCTATGTTTCTTCCTTCGGAGAGCTGCAATATTGACATTTGGAGACTAGAGAAACACCACATGACTTTATGTTTGCTTCTACTACCACTATATAGCGTAAAAGTTTCCAAACATAGATACCTATTTTCCTAAGAATCCATTTATTCCATATGCTCCTCCACCATTAAAATTTAGAGGTAGTATTCCTAGCCGCCTCATGGCAAAGCTTTAGAGTTAAAGGTTCCTATGGATGATCTATGTAGAAAAGCCTGTCATATATCATATCCACCAAATACAATAAGTCCAGTTCAGTTCGTACTAGCTGTGACAAAGACATATAGAGAGAATAATCCTATTTCACATGAGCTATAGAGATGTCCATATTACCCATAGGAGGAGGCAGTTTAGCCACAATCCACCTACCCAGCCACCTAAATTGATTGATCCATCAGATAACTAATATGAGGAAGTAATGTTCTCCACACAAGAGATCCCTTCCTTTTATTGATAACTTCAAAGGTAGATGGATCCCCATACTTTGCTCTCACAAATGAACTCCATTGTGAGGAACTAGTCAAGTAGGACCAAGCTAACTTCCCTTTCATAGTATTCATAACTTCACCTAGATTCCTAACTCCCAAACCAAACTCCTGAAGAGGAAATGATATAAATATCTAACTTATCCAATGGTGCATGCTATCACCACTGTAGTTTCAAAAAAAAAAAAAAAAATTAGAGATGCACCCTTGTATTCTAGCAAGGAAAGCCTTCGGTATAGGTACTAACCCCATTGAAGTTAAAACACTTTGTATTAAGGTAACCTACCTTTCCAACTTGTAGAAAGTAATCAACCTTTCCAAACTATCAGCTTATCTTGACCTTATTTTCCAATTTTACAAAGTACTCTACACGAGCCATACCTTTAAGCAATGGCATGCCCAAGTATCTCAGACACAGTAATGGATAAGGAGAAACCTATCCAAGTTGATAAGAGAACTTTTCTATTTGGAGGCAATTTGTTGCTACAATGAATAAAGCTCTTCCTAAGACTAATGGCTTGATCACTGGCAGAAGAGTACATTTACAGGAAAGACATTAGCTTGTCTACATTCTTCTTACCCCTGTTACAGAAGCTTAGCATATCATCTGCAAAAAGAAGATGTGTGATAGTAATGTTGGAGCGACCAATGTAATAAAAGATAATGGAACCCTTAGTTGTCATCGCATATAAGTTTTGGCTAAAAGCTTCATGAGTTAAAATGCAGAGAAACTCACTGCATGAGAGGAATTGAAAAAGCTAAATGTATTAGAGTTCAGGAATAAAGATGTAATATCCGGTTCCCCGTTAAAAATTAGCATTTAATAAATTTAAAAAAGTTAAAGGCATATGAAAAATATTTTGTGGGCATGGAATAATATTTAAAGGGTTGCTAGAACATTCAAAGTAGTAAAAATAGTTTTTTTTATCCTCACTGAATATTTTATGAATTTTTTCAATGCATGAATAATGGCTTTTATGTGAAATAATTAAATCAAGCATGTTAAGTGTGCATGAAAAATATTTTGTTCACATAGAATATTTGCTAGAGGGGTATTAGATTATTTGATACCATTGGATAAATTTTACGATGTTCTATGATTATTTTATTTGAACTCTATTGTTCATAAATAGTATTTTTGAGGTAAATTAATTAATTTAAGTGCTTTAAAGGTATAATAAAATTATCCAATGGGCATAAAAAAATCATTTAGTATGTGTAGGAATATTTTATAAACTTAGATGAATTTTTCTATGTATAGGGAATATTTTCTATAGAAATAAGTGCATTTTTACACAAAATAATTAATCGGAGGGCTTAAATAAGGGTATAAAAATTATGTGAATGTGATTAAATTATTTTAAGATGTGTTTGAATTTATTATAAAAAGAAATTGAATTTTGAAAAGGTATGGAATAAAATTCTTGAATTAGGGATCTAATTGCAAGGAATTAGGGACCCAATTGTATAAAATTAAAAGTTTAAAATTTTAAATTAAATTAAGTATGAACTTTAGAATTTAAAATATTTATTAATAAATCTTAAAAGGAAGGGCCTAAAGTAATCAATTGAATAATTAAGGGACTTCTAAAGGAGTAATTAGAGAAACGATCGCTAAGTTTAAGGACCAAAATTAAGCAATTTTTTCCTCCTCTTTTTCCAACTTAATGAATTAATTAAGCTTGAATTTTAGTTAAATGGGTGGATATAATTAAGCTAGATGGAAGATTAAAATTAAAAGAAGAATAAAAGGCTAGGAATTAGTCCAAATGAAGGAGTGAGATTTAAATAAAAATCAAAGGCCAAGATTACACCAAATTAAGGGTGGAAATTAAGCCAAAAGTCCACCAATTTAGTCTATAAATATGGGTGCAAGAAAATAAGAAAATGGGAGAAAAATAGAAAAACCCAAGGCAAACTCTTGTTCCTATCCAAATCACTTCC